GTTTTATCGTGAAACCAAGATATGCCAGCAACGATTACTTCCCAAATGGTTGGTTCGTCAGCGTCGGTGATGCCCAACGGGTCGGCGGACGCGAGGGTCGGATGGGACGGCAGAATGTACAACGACATATCATGGACGACTGACAAGAATGATTAAATAACTTCAAGTTCAGATTCCTTCCACGCGTAACGGCCGCCCTAAAGCCACGGTTTAAACCGTGCTCATCTGTCAGTAGCAATAGGCTGATTCCACACCTCCATACTGACATGATAAGTAAGTACATGTATACATCCTACATCCAAGAGTCCCTATATCTTCAATCTGAGAATACGGACAGGGCTCGGTCGCCTGAAAGGAGCCCTTCCATCATAATAAGGCAGACCTGGCAGGTGTTGACGGTACACCCGTCCGAGCATGGTGCGCTCACCCTTTTGAGCGCAGCACGCCCTTGGAGGCAACGGTGTTGTTCGAGTATGTTCCTCAGGAACGATTAACTGTCTCGTTTGCACCCCCCTGGTAATAGGAAACGAAAGTTGGCTGCATTCTCAATCAGGAATTGCGGTAGCCCAACTGCAGAGGTCACCCTGAACAAATAAAGAGTTCAATTTCGTAGCTCAACCTGAAATAAAGAACTCACGGCTCAAGGCTCATCTGCGACAGAAGGTCTTTATACTAACGGAGAAAAATCAGTAATTGTCTCACGAACGACAAAGCTAGAGCATTTCATACACTGTAAGCTTCTGGCAGCATCCCAAAAATGTCTTTACCACGGCAAATGGTCTCCTGTATTCTTCGAGGGTCAAGAAGCTTCATATTACCACCGATACGATCTGCATGGGAAAACCCTTGCATCTTATTTTTATATTCCAGGATGGTTCTGAAGCAGTAGCTGCAGTGCCATCCTGAGTCTGCCAAGATTCTGTTGTCATCGACGCCAGCGTCTTTGACTAAGGAATGGTGATAGTTGAGTGTGGGGCGCCAAAGATTTACGCTGGCGCGCCAGCTGCTCATATCCACTTGCCACTCAAAGCTACACAGGAAAATTTCATCAGCCAAGACGTTGAATGATGCAGGCGGGAGGGTACCTATAAAGGAAATTCCGGAGCTGGAGATGAATCCTTTCACCGTAGTTGCAAGCTTTGAGCAGCTCAACAGTGTGTCGTGATGGGATCTCATCGATGTCCGACATTATGATGAGTATGGGGTCCCCAGAAGGAAGTGCTTGGATATGGGTCTGCAGTAGTGAAGTCATGGCACCACGCGTCGCGGCCTCCGCATCCCAAGCAACTTGTCCCTTATATCCCGGTACGCTAGATAATCTTTTAGAAGGAAAGATCAATAGCAACATGCGAGGCTCTTACAGACGATAGACTATCCTGTCCTCGAATTTGGAGAATCTGTTTTTGTTGTTGAGGAAATGTGTCTCTTTTGGAAGCCCGGTAAAGGTCGCATTGGATTCAATGATGAAGAAATTGTCCACCACAGAGTCCAGCTCGTTTAGTCGGATTTCTAATAAATCCAGTTCGCTGCTCATGAGCACAGCGTCCATGACTTTGACGTTGGCCCCGGTATCGCGTGCCTTCCATCCGTGGAGCTGGCAAGTATGTTGATCCATCTTCATGCCCTCCGCATAGTAATGTGGAATCATGTCCTTGGGGCCCTCTGCTTTGTCCCACAGAGGCCGAGTTGCGTATGAGAGGACATTCTTGAGCTGGTAATGGTACGAGATTATAAAGTGGAGCAAGCCTATGAAGGCCAGGGCCAAAGGAATAAGCAAGACCCTGTGCGGTCGTCGCAAAAAGGAGCCAACCATCGGGTAGAGTATCGAGCTGCGCAGCGACGGCTACTTGTGAACACAGCTAACGGTAGTGTATTGCATTAACTTGAAGTGAAGACCTCAGAGTGCAAGTCCTAGATGGTACTGCGGTGACAAGGCTGACCAATCATTGTTCCTTCACGCGTAACGGCCGACCCTAAACTCATTATCGTTTCTCCCATCTTTTCACACTTGTACGCTTGTCCTCGCCCACGATGTCTGGCTTCGACGCGAACAATGTCTACACCGTCTCGGTGCATGATCTTCCCCCCGCGACAGCACCAGAGTCGCCCTCGGAGACGGAGAAATTGCTCTTTGAGTTCCTGTTACAGTATCGCGTCGGGGGAGAGTTCATATACCGGTGAGAGGCCTTGCGGTGTCCGTTCTGTGGCAGATAGGCTGACGTGGGCTAGTGATAAACTACGGGGAAATCTATTGTTGAAGCAGCATCTACTTGAAGTTGATCTACGGCATATCAGTCTCTTCAACGACGAGCTCGCACATGCTATCCAGGATAAACCAGCAGAAGTTTTACCACTAGTGCGTCTATCCAGACCGATATCAGACCCATCTCTGACCTGCCCCAGTTTGAAAATGCAGCCACCAAAGCCGCACGCAGCATCCTCTTCCCACTAGCAGGCGGCGCTGACGACAGCACTGCTGCGGCCGACGCGATCCCCAAAGTACAAGTGACGCTGCGCTCGGGACTCAACATGCTGCAGTTCCGGGACCTCACGGCGGACACAATGAACAAGCTCGTGCGCATCCCAGGCATCGTCATCTCCGCATCCGTGCTCTCCTCCCGCGCGACAAAGCTGCACCTGCAGTGCCGCGCGTGCCGTTCGACGAAAATCGTGTACCCCGCGGGTGGGATGGGCGGTGTCGGAGGCGGCTCTGACCGTGGTCTCCCCCGCGTGTGCGATGCGCCTGAGCCTGACGGACAGAAGAAGGACTGCCCGATTGACCCGTATCTCATTATTCATTCCAAATCGACGTTTGCGGACCAGCAAACACTGAAGCTGCAGGAGGCACCGGATATGGTGCCGGTGGGAGAGCTGCCGCGACATATGTTGCTCTCGGTGGACCGTTACTTGACAGGCAAGGTCGTGCCGGGGTCGCGGATAATAGCTACGGGGATATATTCAACATTTCAGTCTGCGAAAAACGTGCGTGGCCTGATATTTCTTGCTATGGTTTACTGACGTAGCATAGAAAAACGCGGGCCCTGCTGCGCTCCGCCAACCATATCTGCGCGTCATCCACCTCGAGATGTCGTCGCCCTCTGCGGGCGGAGGTGGGTCGAACCCATTCGGTGTGCAGTTTACGCCCGAGGAAGAGGAAGAATTCGGCGAGATGGCACGGAGCGAGGGCTTCTACGAGCGGTTCGCGAAGAACGTCGCGCCCAGTATCTATGGGAGCCTCGGTGAGCAGGACAATCCTCACATATAACGCGCGTCTGACGCGGACACAGATATCAAGAAGGCGATCGCGTGCCTGCTGTTTGGAGGCTCGAAGAAGATTCTGCCAGATGGGATGAGGCTGCGGGGCGATATCAATGTGCTGCTGCTCGGCGACCCCGGTACGGCAAAAAGTCAGCTGCTCAAGTTTGTGGAAAAGGTGCGGGCGGCGGGACATGTGCTGTCCATGCGTTTGACATATTGTTTTTAGGTCGCGCCCATCGCGGTTTACACGTCGGGCAAGGGCTCCAGTGCTGCAGGTCTTACAGCGTCCGTGCAGCGCGACGCGGTCTCGGTACGCGCACCCAGAGCTTATGTGTCTATTGTTCTGACAGTTCTCGTAGCGCGAGTTCTATCTCGAGGGCGGTGCGATGGTGCTCGCGGACACGGGTGTCGTGTGCATCGACGAATTTGACAAAATGCGAGATGAAGACAGGGTGGCGATCCACGAAGCAATGGAGCAGCAGACGATCTCGATCGCAAAGGCAGGCATCACGACGGTTCTCAACTCGCGCACGAGCGTGCTCGCGGCAGCCAACCCGGTGTTTGGTCGTTATGACGAGGGGCGAAGCCCTGGTGAGGTGTGTTGCAGCTGATTCATGGGCGGTAAATTGTGACAAGGGCGCTGACGCATGATGGCTGTGCAGAATATCGACTTTCAGACGACGATTTTGTCACGGTTTGACATGATCTTTATCGTCAAGGATGAACATAATGAGACGCGGGACAAGGTGCGGCGCACCGGCCGCGTGGCACGGCACTCGCTGATTGACCCACTCTCGTGTCACAGATGATCGCTCAGCATGTTATGAATATCCACATGAATCGGCCGAACCAGGGCGCCGAGGAGGAGAACGCGGGAGAGCTCGATCTGGACAAGATGAAGCGGTATATTTCGTACTGTAAGAGGTGTGTTACGTTATTCGGAGTACAGGGGCTTGAGCTAATAATAATGGGTAATTGTAGCAAATGCGCGCCGAGGCTTTCGTCAGATGCACAGGAGATGCTGAGTAGTCACTTTGTGGATCTACGGAAGCAGGTGCAAGAAGTTGAGCGGGACAATGATGAGCGGAGCTCAATCCCTATTACTGTGCGGTACGTGGTGGCGCCCGGCGTTCGAGGAATTTGCACACTTAAACATGCTTACAAGGCAATTGGAGGCAATCATTCGTATATCCGAGTCTCTGGCCAAGATGACGCTGAGTACAGTGGTAAAGAACCACCACGTGGAAGAGGCGATTCGGCTGTTCAAGTTTTCGACGATGGACGCGGTGTCTGCAGGCTCGGCAGACGGGTTGTCGCGTGGGGAGCTGAATGAGGAGATGACAAGGATTGAGAGGGAGCTGAGGAGACGGCTTCCCGTGGGGTGGAGTACGAGCTACCAGAGTCTGACAAGGGAGTTTGTGACTCAGCAGGGGTTCTCAAGCCACGCGCTGGAGAGGACACTGTTTATTATGGAGAAGAGGGAGATTATCCGGTTTTCGGGACAGGTGAGTCGTTACGCGTTACGTGTTGGGGTGGATGAAACTGACGTGTTCCGGTGTGTAGAAAAAAGTGGTACACCGGGTTGGTGTGTAATGTGGATTTGATATATGCTGTCGTATTGTTGTTTTGTATATTTGTAGTGTAGCTGTAACTGAATCTGACTTGGGTGACGTCTCTAATTTCTTGGATCGTCCTGGTGACTGGACGTGTGACTTCAACAGTGCTAATAGTACAGATATCACGCCCGCCTAGCTCAATCGGCTAGAGCGTCAGACTTTTACGGACATATGTTCCTTATGTCATCTGAGACAATCTGAAGGCTGCGAGTTCGACCCTCGCGGTGGGCTAGAATCCCTTTTTTGAATGCGAATTACCACTTTTACCTGGATACATGATATTTTCGAAGGAATTGCTCGCATGCGTAGCAAAGAACAAACCAGAGCCTGCATTAGTGGCTTGAGTACATGATTTATATGACACCACATATACTAAGCCCAACATCCTACACTGGAAGGAGCCACCCTCCTCAACCTGAAAATGCAGTGATGCAGTGCAGCTTCAACCATCAGACTCAGCTCTGCCTGGCCGTAGCCTGAGTACTAGTATGCCCTCGTATCAATGTGGCGCTGATCAAGGCTGAACTCTCGTGACACTGTCTTGGAAGGGAGTGAGTAAAAGCAGGAGGTGGGGGGGATGTGACTCACACTGGGGCACCTGGGAGCGCAATGTATTGAAAAGGTTATGCTTTGTGAGGAGGAGCACGCCGCAAGGCTTGTTGTTCTGACCGGGGTCTCTTGTGTACTTGATGATACAATGGACGAGATGTCCGAACCACCCAAGTAACGTGCGAGATTTGATGGTCTTGCATTCTTGCATGTGTGCAGTGAATTGAACCTGCAAAAAAGATCAGTTGACACAAGCAAGAAAAGATAGTAGTAGTGCATACCAGAAACATCAGAAATTTCGGAGCGAATTCAGCGACAACGCCTACGTGCCAATACGCCGACTCGGGTATGTTGGGTGAGTGAAAATGAATGCAGTTGGTCCATCTGCGCATACACCGCAGTCCGAGTCGTTGTGAGATGACGCTTGGAGATGCGCGATCCGTGGGATTGTTGACGAAGGCAGTAATTGCCTTGGACGTGTCCTCTACGAGACCAGCCATACCATTGGCGTGCCGAGCTGCCTGAGCTTTGATAGATGCGGAGAGTTTGGTTTTGCTGACGTCGAAAGCGGCAGCGGGGACTTCTGGAGCGGCGGACTTGAGGTTGAGGTTGGCGAGACTAACGGGGACGTACGCCGTTGTTGGGTTGGAAGAAGGGACGAGAGGAGGTAGAGGCTGAGGGGGTGCTGGAGCGTCGAAGAGTTCTTCTTCGGCGATGCGTTGTCGCGCGTAAAACAGGGCTTGAGGTTCGCGGTTGGCGGCGTGCAGGCCGGGCACGGTGTTGAGGCGCATAGTATGAGAGAGAGAGGAGGTCGAGGCGAGCATACGGGGCTCGTGAGGGGACGCGCCCATGGGTAGATGGAAGGGCGTGTTCATGCGGGGCAAAGGCGCTTTTGCGGACAACAAAAAGCTGCATTGCGGGAGGTCTCTGATATACATGGCGGGGATGCGCTTTGTAATACACGATAGGGGGCGGGATCGGGGGCATTGTGAGACCACAAGTCGGTCTAAACTAAAATACAATAAAGTGGTCCAAACCTAAATTTGAGGAATGGGGCGGGCAATGGGCGGGGAGGCGGCGGGGATGCGATTTGTAATACACGATGGTGACCAGAAAGGGAGCGGGATCGAGGGCATTGTGAGACCATGAGTCGGTTGAAACCTAAATTAATTTGACCAGTGGGGGCGGTGGCTTGGGTGCAAGTAATTCAAAAAAGCGGTAGAAAGACGAGGGTCGAGACCAAACTTGTTGCGAGGCACGTCGTGCGAAAAGGTTGAGCGATGATGAGATGATGAGTCCATGATCGCGGTGGGCTAGAACTACTTTTTTTGACTTTCAGCGTATGTATGCAAGTACAACATACACGTTTTGAATGCTTTCGTCTAAATGTCTTGGGAGGCCCGGGAAAATATGCGGATTACCACTTGCACCCGAAATACATGATATTGTCGAAGGAATCGCTGGCACCCGTAGCGAAGGACACACTAGAGCCTGCGTAAGTGGCTTGAGTACATGATTTATAAGACGACACATATACTAAGCCCAATGCCCTACACTGGAAGGTGCCACTCTTCTCAGCCTGCGACTGCGACGATGCAGTGGTCCTTCCCTAGCTTCCTTGGAAGTTGAACTTTCTTCCGTGACAGTGGTTTCCTCTGCAGGTGAATCTTCCTTTGCAAAGAGAGCGAGTCGAGCTTTCTCTTGCTTGGGAAATTCATCTACATCGAGCGACAACACTCCATATAGTTCCACCTCCAAGTCTTTGAGCTGCTGCAGGAAACCTGAATTAGGGGAGACCTGTGGACGCGCTTGGACGATGTGCCTAAGCGCTTCTTTCAGAGACATGCCACGGCGTTTGAGTAGATATGCGGCAAGGATGGTCGGAGAGCGTGAGATGCCGGCGGCGCAGTGAATAAGGATTTTGCCATTGCCACTATTAGAACGGAGAGCAGCGTCGATAATATCACAGGCGGAATCACAGACTTTCGTGATGGAGGAGGATGGGGAGTCATTGAGGGAGATGCGGTGATAAGAGACTGCGTGGACTTTTAAATTTGCTGCTGGACTAGGGCCGATGCTCAGGACATGAGATATTTGATTTGTTGTGAGAAATGATTTGGAGGAAGCAGCCGAGCATGGACCAAGGTATAGTGAAGGAGGAAGGACGAGCGAAGCTGAGGCAACTTGGCGATCGCGTCTGACCATGGGGTGTGAAACGATGACATCGGAGTGATGACGTGTCGCGGCGACGGTTGTCCTTGTGGAGGCAGTGCCGGTGCCGCTTACCTAATGAATGCGCAGCAGCGATATAGGGATGAAGGGTTCACAGCAATTTCGTTAAATCACAGTATCTTCCTGACTCGACTGAACCGCAGCTTTAACCCAGCCAGCCATGTACGAACAAGCCCAATTCCCCTTCTTCGACTCCAAACAACAATTCTACGGCCTCGACTTTGCGTCGTTCCATTCTCCAGCTGACCTGGCTACTCCTTCGATCGACTGCTTCGAGCACGAGTTGGATCAGCTCGATCTCCTTGAACTTGAAGTCACACAAGTAAACAGCGCCTTCTCCCAAATCCCACAAACAGTCGGACCTCCTTCTTCTATAACTCAATCCTCAGAGTCTTCGGCTCACGACACTCTGTCTTTCTACTCTGAACCATTCCACTCCCCTCAAACAGACTATTCCTTCTCAATGGACTTTAACCGTATCTGCGTAGATGACTTTACCACCTCAGACGAGTTTGGTCAAACTACAGACCCTACGTCCTTTGGCCCATTACCCCCAACTCCACCTCGCAGCCCACCTGCAAAACCGTACGACAAGCCTTTTGTAACCAGGAGGAGCATCTCCGAATACGACCCTTCAAAGCGCAACGCCTCTATCTCGTCTGACTTCTACACTCAACTCGGCTTTGCACCACCACCCACCATTTCACCCTCACGTATATCGTCGAGCGCCATCATCCCTGCCCAAGAAAAGGGCGACCCGCGCAAAAAATACAAGTGCCAGAACTGTCCTAGGGGTAGGCGCCTCCCTTATTTTCTTAGTAATATTCCACTAACCCCCCACCCAAGCCTTTGCCCGTGCATACAACCTGAAGACTCATATGGCGACTCATGACCCCAACCGTCTCAAGCCCCATGTCTGCCCCCACCCCTCTTGCGGCCGCTCCTTCTCCCGCAAACATGACCTCGGTCGCCATCTCGTCTCCATCCACCGCGACGACTCCGATGCCACCTCCCACCACTCTTCTTCAGCCTCCTCCTCAGGCAAAGTCTCCATCGGCGTCGAGAAAGGGCCCAGAGGCTGGTGCGACGTCTGTGGCAAGGGCTTCGTCGGCAAGGCCGCTACATGTGGCTGCCACGACGTCAAGTAACCACCCCCAATCCACCAACTTCGATCACGTTAGACATTCAGATTCCCTTTGTGTGCGTTTGAGCCCCGTCCTCGTGTTGTCCTGACATTGTGCTTACATCACACTCTAGGCACTGCACACTTCCCTCCCGGCTCGTCAGCAACCACCCCCCTTATGTGTCCCGCATGCGCCCAACCCCACAATTACACCCCATGCACCACCGTTACTGTACGCCGCCGTCCGCGATGTGTCACGTTTCCGTACCGCCTTGTTTTATCTATGCTTGGCCAAGCGACGGGCGTGATCTCGTAGTAAACTTATCATTCCTTACCCCACCCTCTCTTCTCTCTCTATCCCCTCTATGTTTCTCTCTTCCGACTACCGTTTCAGAACATACCCCCTTTTATCGTGCCGGACGCTACTATTTCCGTATCCTCGTTGTTATCTGTCTCCCCGCTATTCTGTCATACTTTTCTATCTCCTTTCTTGCTAGTTACGCCTGATAAATATAAGATCGTTATCATCAATATGAAATCTCTGGTCCCACAGCGCTAAACCCGTCGGATTGTTCGTTAATCGTTTTAACTTGCAATGCCACGCAATTACGAGGATCGCTGTTCGCATCTAACGTGAATGAGATCTGCTCCTAGGATCGCTCTTATCCCAATGCCACCGAACGCGCGCAAATAAGATGCAGATCGTTCCATATAATCCTATATGCTTTTAATGCATCCCAGATTCGACTCGGAGATTTGTTTTTAGCGTCCATTTTACATTTCATAGTAAGTATCCACACAAATCTTTGAGCCACCCTCCTTCCCCGATCGCCTCGGTGCACACATTCCATTTCGTGAGGAGCTAGGCTAAGGCTACTCGCTTGCAGATAAATTTCCAGATTTGTCGATGTCGCTTAGCCCCCTGCATGCTCCGATATTTCAGAGCGCCGCGACTGGAACATGTATCTCCTCCGTTCTGTGTTTCACTCAGACGGAGCTTTGGAGCTATAGCTGTAGCCGTGCTGTATTTGTCTTGCCTTGTGTTCAACCTGCTTTGGTGAGGTAGGCCATTACACATCATTGAGTGCTCCGGATGGCATTTTCCTCCAACTTTCTATATCGGAATAAATATGCATAATAGTTATCAAAGTTAGAAGCTGCTGCTACTCTCGATCGGGAGAAACCCGGGTCTTCAGCCTAGGCTGACCCTGTTCGCATCCCAAGGCTCACGATCGCATATACATTCGCCACGAGCACCACGCCCCAAATCGCATACGCAACGCCCAAGAGCACCCACCCATTGCTGTAATCAACCATCTCATCACCC